ATAAATTCAGCCTTCTTTCAAAAAATAAATGAATAAATAAAAAGTCTTAATTATTTTAAACATTTGACCACCAGTGTGTGATGCATGTGAAACAGGCTAGCAAATTATATTTTTTAATAGGCTATAATTCCTAATCACAGCACTTGACGGTGGTTACTAAGTCTTCAGATTTACAATGTTCTAGAGTAAGTTTGAGGATGATATTTTACGGATTTTTAAAAACATTTTCTTAGACACGTGAAATTACAGAAGAAAGCCTGGATATAGATTTACAAACATTTACTCTTATCTTATATTGTGACGAATAACGTAAATGGCATTAAGAAATTCGAAAATGCCAATAGTAGTTTGTCTCCCTGAAAATTAATATCTGTCCTTTAACTTTTTTTATATATTATATATATAGTAAACAGTTGGCAAATATTGCTAAATCGTCTAGCTATTCAGCTGCTTATATCTTACCTCAGCTCGCCCTGTGTACAGTAAATCCTGCCTTCTCCGATTTGATTGGCTATTTCAAACATTTTTACATTGACGAGCGCTTTTGAGCCGCTGCACTGAGCCAGAGCACGCTAAAATAATTAGAATGTTTGATTCAAGTGGTCCGCGCGGGCCTTTCGTATGGACCGATGGAAGATTATAGGCTACGTACATTTACTATAATTCATTATTTATATTTACGCAATGGGCTGGCCCACATTGTACAGCGGCACACCGGGAAAACTCCCGGTGCTCCAGATGGCCAGTCCGCTACTGCCCCCTGTTTGTCTCATTATCAGACGCCCAGCATTTGAATAAAAATTGGATGCACATTAGCCATATTTAACTTTAAATTGTAAAGCTGCAGTCCGTAACTTTTTTTGAGTTCAAAATTTACTACATTTATATAATAAGCGAGTACACCATGAATCCATTTTCCAAACCGTGTTTTTGGCTTGTCCTGAATCTAGAGTTAATTTTGTCAGCTATAAAAATTAACGCCCCTGTTTGTCTCCTTATCAGATGTCCAACATTTGAATTCAAATTGGATGCACATTAAGCGACAATAACCTAACAATATTCAACAGCATGCATACTACTGTTTGAAATAATGGTTTGGATAATGCTATGCGATGGCGCCACAGACGGCAGCCTCAGTGTTTGGCTCTCCAGTGTTTGTACTGTTTTTGTTAGTTTTTCCTGTTTTTTGTTTCTCAAACACAATCAGTTTTACCAGGGATGAACATTCGGCAGTACACACCACACAATCTTCTACCGGGTTTCGTTTATTCAGACATTTTGCTGAACATTGTAGTTGGCGGAGCAGCGGCGCTGATCAAACGCTTCAGAACGCGCAGACAGGGGAAGCGAGCCAGCGCACTCGTGAAGCTCAGGAAGCGCGGATTCAGAACGGCGCTGCCTAACATCCATCTGGCGAATCTCCGCTCTCTATCCAACAAAACGGACAAACTTCTCCTGCTCTCCCGGACAAATAAGGATTTTTCACACTCTGCTGCTCTGTGTTTTACGGAAACCTGGCTGAATGACGCCATTCCGGACAGATACCAGGACAGCCAGGCACAAGAACAGTTTCTTTCCACAGGCAATCTATCTCATGAACAGTTATTTGTTCTCCCATTGTGCAATTAAAGTATGTGCAATAACCTTATACTTATTTATCACCCTAAATCCTAGTACATCCCTACAACTTTATTTTATTTTATTCTATTCCTATTCTATCTATAGCACACCTGTACATACAATTTATTCTTTTTTTTGTGGTTTATATTTATGCATGTGTATTTTATTCACATCTTATTTTTATTATCTGTGTGTTGTTGTTGTCTCCGTGTACTGGAAGCTTGTGACACTATAACAAATTCCTTGTATGTGCAAACATACTTGGCAATAAAGCTCTTTCTGATTCTGATTCTGAAATGTTCAGCACTGCATGCATACTACATACTGCTGCACTATGGTTAAAAAATAGTAGGCGAATAAATTAAAGTGTTAATATTCTAAACATAATGGATGTAAACCAGATTTCTGAGAGGAATCCTGTAACTGAGTCCAGTTTGGAGGATTAAGGCTTGTATTTCAGGATGCTGTTGTATAAAATCAGTCCAGATTTTCCACACACATCATATACAAACATTGATCCACAGATCCACTCACTGCATGTGAATGAGAGAGAAGAGTGTGTCCACATCAACAGATGTACATTTACATGAAGAGCAGAAACTCCAGGAGTTTGAGTTAAAAAAACAGACATTTAGAAAACACGGCGCTCTGCAGAAAGGCCAATGTTTTGATTTCACCATTTTTTTTTTTCATTTTTGAGACTTTATAGTCACATGACTCAGAATATGCTAATTGCTACTGCTTGTCTGTTGCAAGAGGAAGTACATTCTTAGAGAGATTCTGATTGGATGAAAATCTGTGTAGGGCAGGATGATGTCATTAGCATTTTCAGTCATTTACTTAAAGTAGAAAGACTGATGAAAATGTTGAGTAGAAACAATGAAAGAGATATATGACTGAAGTCTTAAATATTGCCCAAATATGAAATATCTGCCAATATCAATTAAAAAGTAAATATTGCAAAAAATGTCAAATATCTGCAAATACAGATTTAAATATTTATAGTTGGAAGTATTTTACCAGCATCAGAAAGACTAAAATGATGAGTAGAAAGAATAAGTTGTTTCTAGACTGTTCATCTCACATGAATGGACACAATTTCAACATTTAAGTGTAAAACTTTTACTGTAAGTGGAAAAAAACAATACTCACAGGCTATCAGCACCAGAACAATCAGACAGACGAAGCACTTATAAACGTCTGTAGACAAATTTATTCCATTTTCAACAACAAACACGCAGCGTCTCTCCAGAGCGAGACAAGACTCGTGAACATGAACAAGAGCTTGGCGTGTAGATGAGTGACATCTGTTCACCCGCCAATGAAAACTAACATCTGTACAGAACATTAAACATTTTAAACAGCACGCATGTAACAACCTGATAGTCATTACACATGTGTATGAAAATGAAAATTTGCTGTAAATGAACTCACTCTCAGATCATTCAAGATGTAGAGGAGTTTGTTTTTTTCATCAGATTTGAAGAAATGTAGCATTACATCACTTCACTGAAAAAATTTATACTACATTTTTTTAAGGTAAGTGTTTGCAAACAATTTATTTTAGCTACATTTAAATAAAAAAAATGTTGAAAGTTAGTCAACTAAATTAGTTTATTTAAATGTAGCTAAAATAAATTGATTGTATATATAAACACAG